TCGGGTGCTTTCCAGCACCCATGGTCACGGGGGACTGAGGTGACTGACGTCCCAATGTCAAAGTTAACCTATTATTAAAAAAAAGCTGAAGGTACTCCGGGTTAACTTTGACATCGGGACGTCAGGCACCTCAGTCCCCCGTGACCATGGGTGCTGGAAAGCACCCGAAACGTCGGGTATTAAAAAAATACGTGTGGCACTCGGTGACTGCCGCGGTAAAGCTATTGCATAGCATTTTTTATCAACTTATGCAATTATAATTATTTATTTATTTTATTTATGCAGTTAAGTCTTTGATATTAAATCAAGTTACACTTTTTGAGCGTGGTGACCGATAAGAAAACAATTTTTTTTCTCTTATTGAATAAATGAGAAGTTAATATTGTTTAAAATATTTTTAATATCTTACAATACATGTAGGTTATTCAGGAATTTTTATCATTGAGTTAGCAGCTAGTGTACACGCACACAAACACCGTCGAATCTGCCGAGTGCCGAAGTCTGCCGAGTGCCGAAGTCTGCCGAACTGAAACGACGTTAGACGATGCACGGCTTTCAACGCCACACCTCCGTGCCCGTCGGAGTGGGGAGCGTGAGGTTTTTTTCGTTACGGAATTTCTGGATTCGGTCCCCGCGCTCAAGGCCCGCGATAGAAGCTATGCAATAGCTTAAAAATAAAATAAATAAAACGCGATAAAATCCGTAAAAGTAGTTTTAATCAGAAAAACAGTTATTGAGTTTTTTTCTGTCAAGTTATTCTCAGTAACAGCCCGAAGTCAGGAATTGTTTCATCCCCATGCCTCGGAAGACATGTAATGCCGATGGTCCTGCGCCTGATCTCTTTACCGTCGTGTCGGTTTGCTACTCCATCGGATTGTGAGGGTGAAGGAATGGAGAGTGCACCTGCGCTTGCGCAAACTCTCGGTCACTATAAACCTGTCCTGCGATTACGGCTAGTCTCCGCGGTTTTCTTAGAGGGTTTTAGGGCAAGGAAGTGTCCACCGCATTGCCCCAATGCGTATTGGCGAACTTCACATGTTTTCGAAATATTTTTTCTTATTTCTCAGATATGCAGGTTTCCTCACGATGTTTTTCTTTACATCTGAGCATGTGATAAATCAGCACTTAAAATTAAAATTAACAATTTATTTGATGCCAGCGGGGATCGAACCCGGGTTGCTCGCGTACTGTGTACTTTACACCGAGCGCTAACCATCCGAGCTGCCACGGCGCGCATATTATTTGATTGCTATAAAATAAACTTACTATTTATTTTAAAGAGCAACATACAAAATTGTAAAGCAATGGCGTTTGATATATATACATAAACCTGTATTAAGTAGTAATAATAAAAAATATAAATCCGTAATTACTTAATATTATATCTTCTTTCAAGTTTTATTTAATCACGGTCTCTCGGTAGAGACTCGGACTCGGTCTCGGACTCGATCAAAGAGTATATATATTTACCCCGTTTCTACGTTTTGTCCACAGATGTAATAAAGATGACGATGAAAGGCGGATGCGGACTATTCGATTTTTATTGCTGTTATGTCAAACGTCACATTTTCTACGTATTATGTAAAATTTATAAGTCTCCATGTTTTAAACAAATTTTAATGAGAAAATTTAAATAAAAACCATCAAAGTGTCACAAAAAGGATTCAGATATCAACTATGGTCTGTAAAAGCCTTAAAAGAAGGCCAAAGAAGTTTTCTGAAAAATTTAGATACAAAAGGCAGTAAGACAGTAAAATTACTTGTTATTAATTTAAGTTTCATGTATATGTATCTATTTCTGTTAACCCATGAACTAACCTAACCTAACCTCACCAAGTGGTTTTGTGGTCAAAGTTTATGACTACCAAATCGTGGGTTCTGAGTTCAAAACCTAGCCAGCGTCAACTTTGGTGCCAAAAATACAATTGTAATAGCGTAACAAAAGCCTACGCACACTTGCCTTAAAAATGCCCAGATTTTAATCGGATGTCAAGACAGACGTCAGCAAATCATTCCACTTCTTTGTTGTACGCATTACCAAAGATGAAGAAAACCGTTTGGTTCTAATGCGTGGAATATCGACGACAAAGGGCTTAAGACACGCCGACCGTCTGGTTGTCCGATGGTGGAAGGGGAGGGAGCAATTAGGGCATACAATTCCTGCGTACACTTTCCGAAATGCGTCATATAGGACTAAGAGAGGATGGCTAGTCTATTACTGTGCTCGAGGCTGACAACATTGGTTTCAACTAAACCAAGATTACCAATAAGCATCTTAGTACGTCTCTTTACTAAGTCCAACGTTGCATAGTTTTCGAATTTGGTTACGTTGAAATTGTCCCCGTGTTTTCAAGCACGTGAAAGTGCGAGCTCTTGTGGATGTTGGTGCCTTTTTACCATAGTATCTTTATATGAAAATTATTACAAACATATTAGTATTATAGAATTTTAGACAAGCCGTGCACAAAATGCATACTGGATCGATTTTTCGAAGTGAATCTGCGTATTACTTACTAAAAGTTATTTTATGTCATAGCTAATATGTACTAATTTCTTAAAAATTGTTTTGCATACTAAAAATTATTAAATTTGTGGTTTTTAATTGTTTCAGCTATAAATATCTGCAAAGAAAGCAGCGGTGAATTGAATGTGGTGGTGGAAGGTTCACGAGTAATGCATTTAGAGAAATTATTGCGAAATAGAAGTATTTTCTTTGAAGTGACGAAAACAAATGCGGATTCATTAGGAAGGAATCGGCTACAAAATACATTTACCCTTACTTATCCTAAGCACAGGGTCTCAATTAGTAAGTTATCGGAATACAGTTAATAGTAATATTTATGATGGTTTTACATACATGGTTCCAGCGTGATGCTGAGATGCTGAGAACGTCATCTCTGTTAACAACATTGTATGAAATATTTGTTGGTGAAGCATAAAAATCAATAACATTTACAGGCTTTAGTATGAATAAAAATTCGGCCGTAATGTGGAAACAATAAATTTAGCCCAGCGAGCTCGTTGCTGCAAAGTATGCCATTTTACATTTTCCCGTCTTGATCAATAAATAGTGCCTATCGTGTGGCGTTTAAGATAATATGTGATGGTGACTTAAGAAGCGGCTGTGATAAGAAAATTGTTTTTTTTTATTGTAATCATATTATGCTAAAGTAAAAGTAAAGTTACAGCCTATATACGTCCCACTGCTGGGCTCAGGCCTCCCCCTCATTTCTGAGAGGGTTTAGGGCAAGGAAGTGTCCGCCGCGCTGCCCAAATTCGTGTTGACGAACTTCACATGTCTTCGAAATATATTTTTTTTTCTTATTCCTCAGACATGCAGGTTTCCTCACGATGTTTTCCTTCACCGCCGAGCACGTGGTAAATCAGCACTTAAAATTGCAATTAACAATTTCATTGGTGCCGGCGGGGATCGAACCCGGGTTACTCGCGTTCTGTTATATTTACAGCGAGCGTTAACCACTGAGCTACCACGGCTCATATTATGCTAAGGTACATAATATTTACATAATAGGCAAAAATGGTAGAATCACGCTGCAGCTATATTACGGTTGTAGCACGAATGGGTCGGCTTGACCGGGACAGGACCACGCTCTCACAGAATACCAGCGTAAAATAAAAGCATAATGCTGCTGTGTTTCATATGGTGAGGGTAGAGAACCGGAGACTTTTTTTACTGGAAACGTACGTTACCTTTTTTATGGTATCCCTTAGGAGTGACAACGCATGTTTAATTCTTAACTGAGGGTAGATGTAGATCTCTATGGGCCACAGCATCCACTTACCATGTGTTACCGTGGACTGTGTGCTTATTTGTCACTCTTATTATATGAAAAATTTATTCGTATTTATGATAGTAAATATATTATTATAAACGACAGTTCGGAATTTTCATGCGCAAATTAAAGGTCAGCGCAGATGAACGCAGAGGTGGAGAAGTGCAGTTTTTCGCTAAAATCATCGCATCAGTCGTAATGTCGGTTACTCTGGTTCTACTACAGATATCCTCATTTAGGATTTTATCATATAGATAAACTGCGAGCATAATCCTCTCCATAGCTTGCTTAGCGATCTTGAGCTTCTTCATACGGCCAGTGGTGAAAGACCACGTTCCTAATCTATATGTCATTACTGGAAACACGCACAGTTTGTGCACTTTTGTTTTCAAATATTTGGGAATTCGTGTCCATGATGAAAAGATGTGTCCTGATCACTCGAATGCTGCCCATGGTCTAGGAATCACCGTTGACAACTTCGAGCGTTGTCTTCTCAGCAATTGTCGATATGGGTGTGACATGAACGTTACTCATAATACATAACCTTTGTCTTGTCCAGAGCTATTTATTGGGAGACAATATTGAGGTCACTCAGAATAGTGCTCTTTAGCGGTTCTGTTATGATGACTTTATCGTCGGCAGTTCCTATCCTATCCTTTTTAGTCAAGTGGTATGAAATTGAAAAAAAAAAACTGGGGTTTGGGAAATTTCACCCCATCTTACTTTTCTCTGCTCTCTGCAAAAAACCTACCCAGGTTTCGTAATTAAGTTTTGTAGTTTGATAGACATTCTGCGTAAACCCTTTAGCACCTCAATATACAGATCGTCAATATGGCGCCGCTGTAGGGACCTTAAAACCGTCCGAATTTCAACGGAATTTAATTCAGATGAATGCAGTAACAATTGAATTTTAGTTTTACTTGATTTTACAGAGGGCTAAAATTAAAATGAAAAATTTAATAAATATCATAAAAATAGCACTGAGCAAGTGGTGCCTTAAAGAACCAGTTCTTGCCTATTTTCTTCACCGTTGGCTCGCTGAATATCTATTCCATTTTCTAATTTTGCAAGCCAAGATTTGACTTGCTGTTATAACAGCACGTAGCACGTTGCACGGAGTCTCTAATGATGCGCGGATGCGATACCCTAAATGTGCAATTAACTTGTGTCATTTGTTTTAAAGAATTTCTTTTCCTAGAAACTGGTATGGATTGGAAAAATTATCATCCTTTGAACGTCATATACAGCTATCTTCAGGAACTGGAGACCCAATATCCTTCCATATGTACAGTAAGTGCAATCGGTAGGACAGCTGAAGGAAGAGATGTAATGGTTAGTATCAAACATTTATTAACAGTATCAAATATGTTGCATTTCGACATTTAGCATAAATAAGCCGATGAAACGCGGATATTGTTAAATGAATGTAAGAAAATATTATTAAACTATGTTATTACGTTAGGTTACGTTACAAGTTTAATAATTCAAAACAGCGAACTAAAGTTGGATTGAATTAGGACAGCTCGAGTTATTCCTATTTCCAAGAAAACTGGTTCTCACAGGTTTTGGTATTTGTAGTGGCTTAATAGCCGTAACTCGAGGGAGAATGGGCTAGGAGGATCTGAAGATATGTGTACCTGTAGCTCTGCCAATAAAGGGCATTAGTGCACACCGTACCATAACACAGATTTACTCGGTAAATACCCAACATAACTTGTCTTTGCCACCCTGCGAGGCTTATTCTTACGAAAAATAAGAATTGCAATTGTTAAGTAGCATAAGTCTTTTCGGTCCAATGCAATAGCTCAAACTATGAAGTGCTACGTACGTATCAGGCACGAAAAAAACGATAGTCACTACTACATCTACTAGAACTTATAAACAACTTATCATATCCGCAATAATGGATACAGGTAGGTGCAATGCGATACGGTGAATAACGGTATCATCCCCGTTCAATATGTGTACGACTATTATGACCGTTCTATCGGTTGCAGCTCATTTTGTTCTAAAGGATGCGTCGAAGCTTAAACTAGTGTTGTTGTAAATTATATATATATATATATATATATATATATATATATATATATATATATATATATATATAATTATTTCTATGGTAATAATTATGTCTATGGTAGCTATTCAAAAAATATTTGTAAGAAAACAAACAATGATTGATTATTTTGGGAAACGATCAGCATCCGCAGTTACAATGCGTTTTATTGCCTTTTTAGAAAAGTTCGGTAATGTTGCGTATCATGCCTCGAACTCAGTATCGGTATGTGCCAAATATTGTCGTTGTAAAATTCGCTGTCAGACCAGTCATGGTGTGCCATGGTAGTGACGGAACGGTCTACTTGGCGTTGTTGCATATTAATTTATACAAATAATATTTTCTTTTTCATATGCGGAAACGGTTACGGTCATGGTATTAGAACATTGTAGTATGTAGAGACCTTAATGGCCAGGAAACTTGATTGCTGAGATTGGGGTGAATTTGATTTATTTGAGCTTTAATTAATACGCATAGTTTGTTGGTTTCAACACCCACTGATGATTGCTAAAATATTTATTTTTTTTTCGTATGCTGAGTTGGCTATATTGGTGCATTAAGCTAAAGATTAAAGTATACGAAATGTGGTTTTCTCCTTCCAACTATCCGCATCAATGACTAAGTGTCAGAATTTGTAGGAAGAATACTTTTGTTTTTAATTTGAATCTTATAAATACGTAATTTGTTTATTTTCATAAAATATTCTAACGAATCGTTTTGGTTTCCAGATGTTAAAAATCTCTAACAGCAACACACGTAATACAGGAGTGTGGTTGGATGGAGCTATACATGCCCGTGAATGGATCAGTGCATGTGTTGTTATGTACATAGGCGAACAGATTGCTAAGAACTTTGACACTATGCCAGCGAACATAACTAACAAAGACTGGTAAACACGACGTGCTCTGTTAGGCGATTTGTCCACGTGATTTTAATTGAATTTTACATTACCTTGCATGTTAATTTAATTCATTTTATTTTTAGGTATTTAGTGCCAGTTGTAAATCCAGATGGTTATGTCTATACACATTTAAATGATCGAATGTGGAGGAAAAATAGAGCGCGCCTTGGTACAAATGTTGTTGGAGTAGACCTGAACAGAAATTTTGGGTTCTCTTTTTTACAATCTAATCTAATAAAGTAAATATTGTGTTCATCATTTTTCAATTTATACAACTAAAGTCATAATTTTCAGGTATAAATGGGGTGGGGTAGAAAATTCATCGGGTGATCCTTATCATAACAATTTTCGGGGATTTGATTCATTTTCTGAGCCAGAATCTGCTGCTGTTAAGGTTCTTATAAGTAATTATAAATGATTAATTTCAACCTGAATTAGTTTATTTTCTTTCATTGTAATTTATCTTTATTTTTTAGGATGTAATATTATATTCCACTACACGCTTCAAAATATTTTTAACATTTCACGCGTACAGCGAAGTCATCACATTTCCTTGGTGTTATACGTCGGATCCTTGCCCTGATTATGTAAATTTGCTTGAAGGAGGTACTATTATGGCGAAGGTAACCCTTAATCTACGTTTCTAAAAAAATATAAGTATTATGATCTCATGTTCATCAACACGCGACGATTGCGGCATAAATTGACATGGACTCATATTTGCTCATATTAAACAGATTTGCGAGCGTAGAGTAGCTCTATATGTCCCCCGTTGACTTTTTGAATTTGACATCTAGTATAAAAGAGAAAAATATACTGCCATCTATTGGAAGCAAGATAGAAGCATGGTGGAACCAAGAGATAATACGGGTGATGACACCTCAAAAAATCTTTATTGTGCATTTTTAAGAGGTGGCATGGAACAGATCTAATGTAAATTAAATTAATACATGAGCCACGTACTGCAATCTACTTGAATGTTTCTAGCACATCTTTTGGTGATAGAAACTGTATCTATTTCAGTTGACTTTTAATTTTAGAGAATAAATTTTACGTGGTAGAGCCATGCTGCAGTTATATTAGTAGTATAGTTGTAGCACGAATGGGTCGGCTCGATCAGGGAAGGACCACGTTCTCACAGAATACCAGCAAATATAGTAGCTTAATGCTGCCATATTTCGTATGGTGAGTGTAGAGAACCGGAGACCCTTTTACTTGTAACGAGGCATGCCATCTTAGTCCTCACGGGTGACAACGCGTTTGCATTATGATTCGTAATCGAGGATGGATGTAGATGTCTATGGTCCACAGCAATCACTTACCATCAGGTGGACTGTGCGCTCATTTGTCACTCTATACTACAAAAAAGTAAAAAATAAAAGGGAGTCACATTGTACCAAAGTAAGGTTGTTCAGGAAATCACTTATTTGGTGCGACGAGTACGCGGACGTGTAGTCATAGTGAAGTAGTTGGCCACAAAATCCCGTGTTTGGTCGTTTGTTGCTCATTTCTGGCAAGCATTCGGCAATGATGTAATTTCGATTTTGTAAAGGAATTGACAACACATAACCAGCCAAAGTGAAAAACCTAGTGATCAAAATCTCCCCTGCACTAATCGATCGCTTCTCTTTGGTAAGTTTTGGTGTATTTTGGAACAGCTAAACCGCCGATTGATGCATCGTTTCGTTTCTGGATCACATTAATAATTCCTAGATTCATCGCCTGTAATATCTAATATGGTAAATACGCAGAGACGAACGTGCTTCAGATTACGTAACCAAGTAATTATATCACGACACCGTGGGACTGCTCGTAAAGAGGTATAAAGTCTCGTGAACGCTTCTTGATCTACTCTCTGATATGTGCCGAATTTCTTTATTATATATTTCACCTATTATTTATCAAAATTTTCACTGCTAGCATCTTTCCCTCTCTAACATTCGTCAAAGGGTGACCACTTATATTTTCATCTTTCAAGTTAGTTGATCGTGCTGAAATCTGTTATGCTGGCGGCACACGGTTGCCTTAAGAGATTCTTTGTGCATGACATTTGAAATCTATCAAACGATTCTTCTAGTTCCGGTCGACATTTGAAACCGCAAAAAAACATCGCGCAAAAGTGTTTTTGATCCAAGTCCGTTTTTATTGAAACAGGATATATCAATGTAGCTTGTAAAAATGAAAGAAAAAAACTTGAAATCAGTACGCCATATTTTCACTAAATAATGGTATTTTAAAAATAAATTATGACTGGCCAACGTTTCCTACAAAAAAACTTTTTTGCAAGACTTTCTTCTTTTTTTGCGTGAATTTAATAAATTATATCTGTTTACACCTTTCTTTGAAGTACAACGCAATAGGTTCATCTCATGGTAAGTCGCCGCTGCTTATAAACATTTGCAACGTTAGAGGGTTAGTAGGTGCGTTGCCTAAAATTGCTGACGGTAAAAAAATTATTCACATATTGCAGAAACTAGTTACTTATATTGACTAGTTTAGGTGTTTGAATATTTCAAAGATACAACTTATAAAGTTACATTAAATTATACCGTTGTTGATTATCGCTCATACCATTGTTGATTATCGCTCAGAGTAGACCTGTGTCATATTAGATAAGAAAATATAATCGTCGCTTCAATCGATTAACGCACGTAGTGTATTGTAACCTAAGGGTCCCTTTGCCGCCAATAGCATCGTTTGTTAAAATTAGTTATATCTGTGTTGAAAGTGCAGTACCTTACTCGTCGCATCCGAACACGTCACACCGAGTCGAAGTAGACAAAGGTAACTATTAACACCTACCTGCATTAATGCTTGTTGTACTTACCATTCTACAAACGATCTACACTACACAGCCAGCTAATAATAAATTGAACGTAATGTAATGGTTGTAAGAAATCGGTGCGGCAATCTGAGAAAATAATTTGCACCCGCAGTAACTACGCTAAGACATACCACTATTTATGTGTAGGTTTGACATCAGAATGTGCCAAGAAAATATCGTCTTGGACATGTCCGTATTGCATTAGCAAGCAACTAAAAGCAATACCAACAATACCAACACTCCGCTTAAACATACATCAGAAAAAAATTCTCCAGTAAGCTCTTATCTACAGGAATCGTCTGAGTTTCGAACAGGCATCCTAAACTCTCTTAAAGATGAACTCCAAGTTCTTATGAGAAAGGCAGTTAAAAGCGAGTTAAGCTCCTTGAAAGCTTAAATATCGACTTTGGAAACTACTCTAAATTATATAAGTATCGAGTACGATGACCTCATGAAAAATCTTGCATCCACCACAGCTGAACTTAAATGCCTAAAGGAAGAAAATGCGCGTCTCCGAAGTGACGCAGATGCTAATACAAGACGTATAAAACAATTGGAAGAGGAGTTTGCAAGGCAATAGCAGTGTAGCCGTCTTCAGAATATCGAAATTACAGGTGTCCCAGAGTAGAAGGATGAGAACACTGTTGAAATTGTTGTTAAGCTGGCCGAGAAATTGGGTGTCACCATGGACAGCAGTGAGGTGGAGTTTGCACATCGTGTGCAGCCGCGTAAGCCGAACTGTTCCATCATTCACCGTTCCATCATTGCCCGGTTTCGTCACCGCAGCACAAAAGACTCGATCGTAATCGCATCGCGTAAACATCGCGGCATCAAACTAACCGACATTGGTATGGTGAACAAGACAAGCAACGATAATGCCAGAAACAATATTTATATTAATGAACATCTTACACCATACAACCGGAATTTATTTAAACAGTGTAAAATCAAGACTAAGGAATTTTATTTCAAATTAGTCTGGACAAAAAACTGCCGTAATTATGTGCGTCGCAACGAAACTTCTCCCCCCATAGCCATTATAACGACGGCCGATTTGATATAAATAGTTTAATTTGTACCGATTGATAGCGATGTTAATCTTAGTTATGTTACGCATACTTACACAATACACATTTCTCACTTCCATTCATCATATTATACCTTTTTACATTTTAACACCAAACAACTTGCAAAGTTATCATACAACATATTATTCATTGTTTCTATTTATCATTACTCAAACTACAAAACACTATGAAAAAATTCTACATCATATAAAATACTATGATAATATATCAATAGGCATTACAAACTGCCTTCCTGTTTTATTTCTTTTTAAACCTTATATTATGTCTTATTGTCGTGGAAAAAGATACTTAGCATTCACTTCTTATTTTACGTTTTCTCTGTAGTGCAAATGAAAGCAGTTATTACAATCCTTTATGTGTATCATTCTATAACTAATGGTGTACTTATTATTGAAAATGGCAAAGTGCAATAGTGGATTAACACTTTTCTATCAGAATGTACGAGGCTTACGGACTAAGACTGACCAGTTTTATAATAATTTATTTCTATCTAATATTGACATCGCTTTAATTACAGAGACATGGTTATGCCTGTCGCATAACCATGTCTCTGTAATTAAAGGAATATTCTGGATACGGAGTTGTGCAGTTCTGACCAATACGAACTATTCCGTCGCGATCGCTGCGCGCTCGGAGGTGGTGTGATGATTGCGTGCGCTTCCCGGATCAAGGCGCGCAGGCGCTCTGAACTTGATCGCGACAATCTTGAGTGCATATGCATAACAGTACCGGCGCGTGCGCTTGACTCACAACATGATTTAAATATTTTATGTGCTTATATACCAAACCGCGCGCTTGCATTTTGTATGCAAAACTTTATACACATACTTACTGTTGTGATTAGTTCAAAACCAGATGATCATTTTATAGTAATTGGTGATTTCAATTTACCTTGTATAGATTGGAAATTAAATAAACCTATAATATTAAAAAAGGGATCTGTCGAGACGCAGAACTCTGCTGTTGATTTAATTAATACTACTTCTTATTTAGGTTTATCTCAATACAATTATTTAGTAAATCCATATGGTAATATACTGGATTTAATTTTCTCTAATATATCTTTAACTATCGTAAAATCTAAAGCCCCAATTGTAGTTGAAGATATTTGTCATCCATCAGTCGATATTTATGTGAAAGATATAATAGTACCTTCGATTAAACCAAAAACTAGAAAAAGAAACTTATTTAGGAAAGCTGATTATAATAAATTTAAATACTTTTTTTCTAATTACGATTGGTCCTTTCTAAAATCTCATGATTTGAAATACGTAATCGACACTTTTTATGTAACATTAAATACAGCCATCTCTAACTTTGTGCCACAAAAAATTGTATCTCATACTTACAATTATCCTGTTTGGTATAGTAATGCCTTAATAAAGTTGATTAAAGAAAAAGCTAAGTATCATACTTACTGGAAAAAATATGGAAACCCAAATGATTATGAATCATTTTCTTTATTGCGTTCCCGTTTAAAAAAAACTTAAAAGGGAATGTTATTCGTCTTACGTTAATTATTCTCAAGAAAAAATTAAAACTACACCTAAATTGTTATGGGCTTATATAAAATCCAAGAGGACAAATAAATAAGCTTATCCCCAAATAATGCAATACAATAATAAGCAATTTTCAAATCAAAATGATATTTGCAATGCTTTCAATGAATTTTTTAGTCGTAAATTTAGTCTACCGGCATTACATTATCAAAATTTTACACATAAAAATTTCATAACCAATGATGTTATTAGTGATATATATCTTTATGTAACAGACATAAAAAGGCTCTTGATAATCTCGATTGTTCTAAATGCGCTGGATGTGATGAGATTCCTCCATATTTCTTTGTAAAGTGCGCAGAATCGCTAGCGGCTTCTATAACATTATTTTTTAATCGATGTTTTGCAGAAGGTTATTTTCCTAAAATTTGGAAAACCGCTAACGTCGTTCCAATCCATAAAAAGGAACCAAAACAGCCATCGAAAATTACAGATCTATTTATATTCTTAATGTACTGAGCAAGTTGATGGAGAGGGCTGCACATAATCATTTATATCCTCTGATTGTTCGTCACATTCCTTCACAACAGTATGGATTCGTTCGTGGTCGCTCAACCAGGACTAATTTATCAAATTTTTTTAATGATGTTCTTCGAGGTATAGATGATGGCTTTCAGATTGATGCCATATATACAAACTTCGAGAAGGCATTTGATCGCGTGGATCACATTATTCTATTGCGTAAACTCCAGGAGCTAGGAATTCATGGAAATCTTCTTAGTTGGATAGAGTCCTATCTACGTAACCGATCTCAAGCTGTTGTAATAGCTGGACATCGCTCTAATTTCGTGGATGTCCCATCTGGACTCCCTCAAGGGTCCATATTGGGTCCGTTACTGTATGCATCATACTTGTATGATATAGTAGACTGTCTTAAATTTTCAAAATTTCTCATGTATGCGGACGACACTAAAATTTACGCAAATATTAAGTCTGAGGAAGATGCACACCAACTTCAGAAAGACTTGAACCAGCTTTGTTTCTTCTATCATGATAACCGTATTAGTGTTAATTATGTAATACAAAATGTTATCAAATAAGCTTCACTCGTAAAAGACACCAAATTGAATATCGATATAAATTAGATAACATACATTTGTAACGCATCTACCAAACCAAAGATCTTGTTGTTATTTTTGATTCCAAAATGCTTATGTCTAATCATGTCACGACAATGGTTGCAAAAGCGTATAAAAATTTAGGATTTGTTCTAAGAGTGTCCCGTCCTTTCTCAGATTCTGAATGCATTAAAATTTTGTATTATTCTTATGTAAGAAGTGTTTTGGAGTATTGTTGTAATGTCTGGAATCCGCATTATTTGTCTTATATAGAGAATATAGAGCAAATACAATGTAAATTTATTAAGGCGTTAAATTATCATACTCAACATAAAAAAGCAGTTATAAGGAATCTTGCTATCATCATAACTTATTGCAGTTAAAGGACCGACGTACACTTCTACAAATTTTGTTTCTACACGAAATCTGTAGTAATAAAATTGATAGTCCCGAATTGACATTTCAATTCCTACAATTCAATGCTCCTTCGAAGCGTACCAGACATACATCCCTATTTCATGTCCCTTTAAGTCGCTCTAAATATGCTCAAAATTCTGTCATTAGTCGTATACTTAACTGCTACAACAAAAACTTTGCAACTATTGATATTTTTTCCACGACAGTAAAGCTTCCATAAAAAAAGAAATAATCTCAATTTTAAGAAATAGAAAGTAATATAAATTTAAAAAAATAACACGTACAAACATGCCACACCTCTTTCACACACACACTCTCACACTCACATACACACACACACACACACACACACACACACACACACACACACAATACACACACACACACACACACAAATAAATATTTACAAAACAAACACTAGTAGATGTACATATATGCACTATATTTTGTAAAATGCGTAATGACGTAATGACTACTCTTTAAAAATAACCCTGTATAATATTATTTCCACACAGTTGTAGCGATACATTAGAAGATTTGTTCTTTTATAAAGTAAGAACCTGTAATTGGCAGTAGAAAATGTAAATACTTACAAATTTTATAATGTTACAAAATGCTGTTGGTTCTGTTACAATAAATTTAAAAAAAATTATATAAAAAATTAAGATTTTATGTCTTGAATTAAAACACAAAAGTCAAAAAATTGTTTAGACAAAAAGGTTGGAAATATGGTAAAACGTAAAACTTTTCAGGCTATATATGAAACAAGTGGTCGCATGTACAAAGTTGGTAACTTTAAAGACCTAATGTATCCAGCGTCTGGAACAAGCATTGACTGGAGCTATGGTGTGGCCCGCATACCTTTTTCTTATCTAATCGAGTTAAGAAGCAAGGACTACAAATTCTTATTGCCGAAGGAACGGATATTAGAGTGTTGTGAAGAGATATGGAACGGCGTGAAAGCATTGACTGTACATGTCGATAAAAAGAAATGCTTGAATTGTGTTATCATACAAAATTAATGAATACCCATGATAGCAAGTTTATTCTTTAGTATCTTGAATATGTTAAGTATTATGTCAAGTTTTATAAATATTTGTTTTAAAGTTTTTTGATAAAATTACATATACTTTTTACTAATGTATCAATTTTTTATTTACTCATATTTTTAAATAAAATTATTTAAGATGTTTTATGCAGTCTAAAAACTTGTACATACACTTTTTTAAAAGAAAACTATTTACAACACCGAAAATAAAGTAAGTTTAAATAAAAAATATTTTGACTAAAAAGTGATTTCGTTTTCCTTATCCTGAATATTTTGGAGATGCAAAATTCTTCGTACATTTATCTTTGTTCATCTACAAAATCCATAAGTTTCTTCACAGCATTCCATATTTCTTTTCCTGTTTCGATTATCTGATCTTTCGGCAGTCTAAATTTATGTTTTCTGCTTCTTAGCTCTATCATATACGAGTACGGTATATTTGCCATAGTGTAGCTCCAGTCCGTACTAGTTCCACACGCATAATAGGTCAAATCCTTGGTGCTGCCAACTTTATAGGTGATGCCGCTGGTTTCGTAGATTGCCTAAAAATGTTTTGTGTATTAAAATTTTTGTATAATTTTTGTATTATGTTTAAATACTAGCTGATACCTGCTCGTTTCGGCTGGGCGCATGATAATATTATATTGCGGAACCTAAATATATGTTGGGACGTAACATCTGTTCTTAGTTAGCGTCTAAATTGCGAAATGAGTATAGTTACATACTAAATTACAAGTCGATCGAGTGTAGTTTTAGCAGTGGTGGTGTATATAACACACACAACTGCCTCATTGTTCTAGTGGTTGTATTAGTGCGACTGCTGATCTTGAGTTCCTGAGTTAGAATCCCGGGTCAGGCCAAAAAATCAATTATTGAGTTTTTCCGTCAAGAAATTCTCAGTAGCTACCCGGAGTCAGGAAGTTGGCGGTGTCTCACCTCGTGCCTCGAAAAGCACGTAAAGCCGTTGGTCCTGCGCCTGATCTCTCTCCGGTCGTGTCGGTTTACCGTCCCATCGGATTATGAGAGTGAGGGAATAGAGAGTGCACCTGTGTTTGCGCATACACTTGGGCACTATAATCCTGTCCTGCGCCGATGGCTAGTCTCCGTTGTGGCTGGCCGCTGTGACCGAAATTCGGTCTGGAGGACATTATTATATAAACACACAATAATTCTATAGAAAGGGGAAACATACAATTTGGAAAAAAAGGGCACTATTATCCTGTCCTGCACCGATGGCTAGTCTCCGTTGAGGCTGGCCGCTGTGACCGAAATTCGGTCTGGAGGACATTATTATATAAACACACAATAATCACAATAATTCTATAGAAAGGGGAAACATACAATTTGGAAAAAAAGGGCACTATTATCCTGTCCTGCGCCGATGGCTAGTCTCCGTTGAGGCTGGCCGCTGGGACCGAAATTCGGTCTGGAGAACATTATTATATAAACACACAATAATTACAATAATTCTATAGAAAGGGGAAACATACAATTTAGAAAAAAAAAACAGTCCAGTAGAAAATAGTAGGTAAAATTACCAGCGTCAAATAGAAGTTCAATGATGTTGGGTTTCGTTTGGGGAGTGTAGAGAACCGGGACCCTTTTTACTGGAAACGAGACATTCCATCTTAGTCCTCAGGGTCGGTAACGCATTTGCATTTTGATTCTTAATCAAGGATAGATGTAGATTTTTGTAGACCACATCATCCACTTACCATCAGGTGGACTGTGTGCTCATTTGCCACCCTCATTCTATAAAAACTAAAACAAGTAAAATCTGACTTCAAAGAATTAAAAAATTGATTTTAATTCTCCTATAAGCATCGATTTCGGAAGCTATTATGTCGATATAATTTTATTCTTTGACGGTTTTGGATGTCGGCTTTAAGTTTTTAATAAAGATATTAATTAATTTGCAACCTTCCGCTATCTAAATACAATGATGTGTCTTACCCGGATTGAAGAGCACCTCCCGTCCTCCCTCAATTGCGTGCACCAATCGCGTCACCACTAATCCCAGCACCACTACTCCCAACACCACTACTCCCGGCACCACTACTCCCAATACCAATATTCTAGGAAAGACACACCATCGATGACAATGTATAGTGCACGCAATTGAGGGAGGGCGGGAGGTGCTCTTCAATCCAGGTAAGACACATCATTGTATTTAGCTAGCGGAAGGTTGCAAATTAATTAATATCTTTATTATAATGGATTTCCGCAAAGTAACGCCTGATTCTATCATTTATTTCAGTTTTTAATAAAAGTATAATTTTATAGTCTACACAATTTTAAAATAACACGCTACGTGAAAATTATTGATAGTTTAAAAAGTGTTACATAGGTATTGATTTACATCGTGCTCTGCGGCGAAAGAAGAAATCGAAAAAAACCCTGCATGTATGAAAATGTGTGTGCTATGGATGCTTCCTTGGAATAAAATGCACTCAGTATGGTAGGAGGTCTGTAAGATGTATATAGGCGCTGTTACTTTACTATTATTAGGTTAGAACACTGTTTTAGTGTCAAAAACCTGTTGCCTTAAGGACGCGTTTACAAAATGGATAGGTATAGAATCGCACTACTACATTGACAAAAGTCACACACACACTAGTGTACGCACGGTTGGCTGTGGGAATCGTAGTCAAATGAAATTATTTTGATAATTTGAAAGATTGAATTTGTTTTTCATTTCTTATACCTACCTCAGAAATATACTTCGATACGAAATATGAATACCTGCTCCAAAGACTGCTTGGCACTGGAAGCCCTCTACTGGTAGTGAGATGTTAGCTCTGAACTTTGAACTGGTTTTGTCAGTTATAATAAGACCTTACCTACCTGCGGACTTGATGGAGTGACCTGAAGGTGTAATTTGGTGATTACAACAATAGGAACTCCTAGACTAGTGGAACTAGGTGTGCCGAGTTTGGGTTCGTTTTGTTGGTTATGATGAGACCTTACCACCGGACTTGATGGAGTGACCTGAAGGTGTAATTCGGTGATTACAAGTGGAACTCCTAGACTAGTAGAACTAGGTGTGCCGAGTTTGGGTTCGTTTTGTTAGTTATGATGAGACCTTACCACCAGACTTGATGGAGTGACCTGAAGGGGTAATTCAGTAACTACTGCTGGAATTTCTGAACGAGTAGAACTAGGTGTGCCGAATTTGGGCTCCGTTTTGTTAGTTATGACGAGTCCATACCTCCGGACTTGATGGAGTGACCTGAAGGTGTAAATCGGTGATTGCAACTGGAACTCCTAGACTGGTGGAACTAGGTGTGCCGAGTTTGGGTTCGTTTTGTAAGTTATGATGAGACCTTACCACCGGACATGATGGAGTGACCTGAAGGTGTAATTCGGTGATTACAAGTGGAATTCCTAGACTAGTAGAACTAGGTGTGCCGAGTTTGGGTTCGTTTTGTTAGTTATGATGAGACCTTACCACCAGACTTGATGGAGTGACCTGAAGGGGTAATTCAGTAACTACTGCTGGAATTTCTGAACGAGTAGAACTAGGTGTGCCGAATTTGGGCTCCGTTTTGTTAGTTATGACGAGTCCATACCTCCGGACTTGATGGAGTGACCTGAAGGTGTAAATCGGTGATTGCAACTGGAACTCCTAGACTGGTGGAACTAGGTGTGCCGAGTTTGGGTTCGTTTTGTAGGTTATGATGAGACCTTACCACCGGACATGATGGAGTGACCTGAAGGTATAGTTCGGTGATTACAAGTGGAACTTCTAGACTTGTAGGACTGGGTGTGCCGAGTTTGGGTTCGTTTTGTTAGTTATGATGAGACCTTACCACCAGACTTGATGGAGTGACCTGAAGGGATAATTCAGTAACTACTGCTGGAATTTCTGAACCAGTAGAACTAGGTGTGCCGAATTTCACTCCATCAAGTCCGGTGGTAAGGTCTTATCGTAACTAACAAAACGAAACCAAACTCGTCACACCTATTTCTACTAGTCTAGGAATTCCATTTGTTACCACCTGATTACACCTTCAGGTCACTCAATCAAGTCCGGTGGTAAGGTCTCATCGTAACTAACAAAACGAACCCAAACTCGGCACACCTAGTTCTACAAGTCTAGGAGTTCCACTTGTAATCACTGAACTACACCTTCAGGTCACTCCATCAAGTCCGGAGGTATGGACTCGTCATAACTAACAAAACGAAGCCCAAATTCGGTACACCTAGTTCTACTCGTTCAGAAATTCCAGCAGTAGTTACTGAATTACCCCTTCAGGTCACTCTATCAAGTCCGGTGGTAAGGTCTCATCGTAACTAACAAAACGAACCCAAACTCGGCACACCTAGTTCTACCAGTCTAGGAGTTCCAGTTGCAATCACCGATTTAGACCTTCAGGTCACTCCATCAAGTCCAGAGGTATAGACTCGTCATAACTAACAAAACGGAGCCCAAATTCGTCACCCCTAGTTTTACTCTGCAAGAAGTTCAAATAGCGGTCACGAAAGTACACCTTCAGGTCATGCCATCAAGTCCAGAGGTAAGGTCTCATCATAACCAACAAAACGAGCCCAAACTCGGCACACCTAGTTCCGCTCGTCCACGAGTTGCAGTAGTAGGTAAGTTTATATATCCTACTTATTTTTAGCTAAATAAAAACTGTGAGTATAAAAATAATAATTTTATCACTTGTCAAGTACCTAAGTTTCCAATTTGTTTTTTTCTAATATTTTGTGTATGTACAGCGATCTTTTCAGAATGAGCCGCTGCAAACAGGCGATACAGTGTCCACTCACGACGGCGGCCGAGCGCGGACTGTGGTTTCATCGAAATCTTTGTACAATAAATCAAAGCAGGCACCAACAATAAAATAGCCATTATTGCAATACATTATGATTCATCCATATTACCAAAATATGTGAAAAAATGTGCATCAGTTTTTATTTTTTTTACGACTATTTGTGACATTTTGTTAAAAAATAAAGCCAGGGTTTTTTAATTGAATATGTCTGTCATCTTATAGTATTTTTTAAATTTTTTAAATATGTTGATAATAGACCAAAACATGTACCGAAACACAAGCCGGTATCGTTAATTTTGTAGAAAATGGCAACGAAAGTTCGTTTTTACAATATAAAAAACTACTATTTTCAACAAAAGAGTTACAGACATTTGCAGATGAAGAACCAATCTATACATGGTAGTTTTTACTTATATTTGATTTGGTTTAGTTTTGTCACAAAATCTACCGAAAAACACCCTAATTTTGGTTGATTTGCAAACGCGTCCTTAAGACTTTGTACAATTTTTGAACTAAGTTTATATTAAGAAGTTTGGTTTAAAGAGCAGAGCCTTATTAGAGTTACTTGTTTTTTGGTTTGGAAGGAGGTACTGTTACATACAGGATCTCTGATGTCTAGTACTTCATTTTCTTACCCTAGCCATAATCGTACCGCCTTCTAGTAAATTAAGATAGTCTGGACATGCATCTGTTTTATGTCCCCATGGGAAAATTATCAATTCGAAGTAGCTATGAAACGACAAAAATACTTTGAATGGTGTGCTTGAACTCATTATAGTATCCTGAAAATGAAAAAGTTATTGTTACAAACATATGTGTTCAGTTATATACCATAACGGTTGTTGGGTATAAGCTTTTGACTTTGTGCATGCAATCAATCTGAGATCAATAAGTGTCAGCACATTTAGTATTTTCAATAATGATTTACATACTTAAAGGTTTAATACAATTAAAATGGATAAAAAATGAATGATAATGCCCCCTGAAATCCATATACGTGTATAATACATGTCAGTGCCATGCGCTAAACATGTAGAAATAATATATTTTATAAACATGTAAAGCACATCCATCTTTATTAAGGCAGGTTAAAGAATTTTTCCCTGCCAATGATCCTTGATTGCTTATTTAATTTGCTACTATTCATTATAAATAGAATAGTTAGTTCTATGACATATTGTTAGAAGTGAAAGATAATGCCTACATATTTCTGTTTCGCTGTTCGGCACAATGCTCCTTTTATTGCTAAGTAGTGTAAGGTTGGTTTTGGAGCAAGGATGAGACCGCCGCGCTAATGCAATGCGAGTTCACCATAGACTTATTATACTTATCAATGGTGTTCACGGAATTTTCGTAAGCATAATATTTCCTCGTTTTTAAATTTCTTTGTTACACCAGTATTTTTAATTGGTAATGATCTTTATAATTGCATCGCACTATATGATTTAACATGATATCTAAAGCTAGTGAACTCCTGTGAACTCCCAAAATATTGTAAGCAGGATGAATACCATATTAAGTGCCTTGTAGTTACCAGCTTAAGGAAATAAATACATTATCTAGTCTGATGTAAATATCTATCACAACTATAAGTAAATATGTGTATAAATCAGTCTGAAGGAATGATTTATGATGAATGATTGATTTAAAAGAAAATTGTGCAGATAGGATGTATTCCATTACCCTCACAGCTACGGTTTCAGGTTCTGAAAAGGGTATAGGTCCTCTGTAGAATACGTTGTTTGGTTCATCTGAAGAACCTTGGTCGCCGTTGCTTCCCCACCCGCAACTTAAACAAGAAATTTATTTTATAATTTAAACATACTATTTGCTTTATATTTTTAACAAACTTCCACAACTTCGTAAAATTATTAAATAAAAACTAGCGTAGACTTACTACATTTATTAAGTGATTTCTGCTGCTAATTAGCTGTCGCTTAACTTAAAGTAGTGTACCTACTGTGTGTGCTGGTTTGAAAACTATGTCAATTCAGTAAATTACAAGCTTTAAAGCATTCCATCTTCATTATCATTTGTGACAATGCTTCTGTGATCGTCTTTTTAATGTCCATAGTCTGCAGTAGCCACTTCACATCCTAATTGTAATGTCGTTCGCCACTTTATTCTTCTTCTTCACCAACCCTTAAAATTCCACTGGTCATAAGCATCTCCCATTGCAGAGAGGGTTTATTTTAATCATCATGTTTAACAAACGAATTGATGATAGTGGTATAAGACCTCTTACATTTTTGACTCTAATTGGCACTTCAAGAATAGCATATGGGCGATTGTGCTTCGCACGATGTTAGAAAAGAAATGGAAATACAAAATTTCATCCAAATCGTTCGAGCCGTTTCTAGGAATAGATGCAGGTGGCTCAGGGTTATACTTTGTACATCCTATACGATGAGATGTAATGATGATGATGATATAAAAATAATATATAAAATTTACTCTTAAATTAAAAAAAAAACTGGCAACATATAAAATGAGTGAACCTGAAGTTTCGATTAAGATCAACGCCTACACATTTCCCGACACAGTTGCGCGACTCTTCCTCCACATGCGGTTATGAGTGTGAGTGAATTCGTATCCATCCGGATTAAGTACGGGTACAATGTGCCTGCAATATTTTTTTCATAAAATTATATAGAATTTACCAACCCTTATCCTTGCCAACTTCACTTGCACGCATCGTCTTCACTGTAGAAATAATTGTTGAGACTGGCAACTGACAAATGGGAGTACATCTAATATAAAAACCAAATCAGACAAAGTGATGATGGGAGAGAAGAAAAATGTCCTCCGCACCGAGTTTCAGTTATGGCGGCCCATCTCAACGCAGACTAACCATCTGCACAGGGCATAATTACAGTGCACGAGTTTGTATGCACAGAAGCACTCTCTATTCTCTCACTCTCATAGTACAATGGAATGTTAATCGACACGACCGGAGAGGAATCACGCGTAAAAACAACGGCTTTAACCTCTCAAACGCCAAGCGTCCAAATTTCATCGATATTCCGTCAAAATTCAAGAGGTCAAATTTGACCACACCCACCTACAGCACTTTAACCCATAAATACTTATGTTTAGAGACTACTACTTTTCTATGAAGAAGTTTGGCATTATACAATCAATATGAAATTTTCTATCCTCTAGTGGAATAAAAAAAAACAGTTAGACTATGGATATAACCACTCAAAACTTCAATTATTCGGAAGTTTATAGTTATTATAAAATTGTTATAAAAAATTTTGTGTGAATATAATTTATCTCTTTACGTAAATAATTTCGAGTATAGAAATAATTGTAATTTTCACGTTGCCGATACCCGCTCGGTATATTTCTTTTGTTATCAAATTACAATAAAATCTCTTTGTAATAAAGTAAAACCTGACTTTTTTTAGACCACATGAAAGAGAATTTTGTATAGATTTTATAATGCCACACTACTGTACTCTCTAAATATAAGTTTTAAGGATTTTAACTGCTGTGGGTGGGTGCGGTCGCATGCGACCGCTCGCGATTTGCCAGGCGCATGCAAACTGCATGTGAATTTGGTGGGGATTGAAGGGTAAAAGCAACGTGCTTCCCCAAACACGGGGTTGAAACACCGCCAGCTATGCGACTGCGGGCTACTAGTACCAGATTTTCTTGACAGAATAATCCAACGCAGCGTCATGAGTAAAGCAAAGAGTAAAGTTTTGCTAATTATGCATACCAATTGGCGGACACTTGAAAAGGCATCAGCACGGGGTTAAGAAAGGCTGATATGAAAATGAAGCAAAATGTTACAAATACTTTAGAATTTTTTCAATTAAACAATTTTACACATACATCCAATACCTCATTGCCTGTAAATATCTTGGCTTTTTATTCCTTTCAGACTGAAGATAACAGAACAGTCGTGCAGATACTGCCATTTAGCCGCAGAAGTAGTTAAGAGGGTGGTGGGTGGTGGCAGGCAAGCGGATATCCAGACGGAATCCTATGTCGAAAACGAGTCCCATTACTGACTCAAAATTGTCATTACAGCCTATCAAACTGTACTGCAAGAAATATGCCTATCCCATAGACGATCATATAGGGGGGATATTTGTCATAGTAACCACGCTTCGCAGGCGAGTTGGCATCAACAGTTTTTTTTGGTTGTTTTGAGGAAGACGCTACTGTCCATCTGCTGGTATGTTTCCTTCCGTCGCTTCTTACGACATCCACGGGACGATATTGTAGTGTATATTATTACAACGCTATTACGCGGTACTAACTCAAAATTGCAATTAACAATTTTGTTGGTACCGCCGGTTATTAAACCTGGGTTGCTCGCGCACTTTTTTATAGAAGAAGGGGCAAACGAGCATGCGGCTCACCTGATGTTAAGTGACTACGGCCTCCCATGATCAACCGCAACACCAGGGGAATTAAAGGTGCATTGCCGGCCCTTTAGAAAGGAGTAAGCTCTTTTCTTGAGAATTTCTTTTGCCGTAAAGGGTTGCCGTAATATTCCTGAGAATATTACGGCAACCCTTGAGCTACCACGGCTCGTTTAAACATATTTTATATGATTGTTAGACATACCAATCTTTATTAGTGACTGACTCTGAAAGATTATGAAAATTTCTGGCTAATGTGTTAGCTATATAAGTAATAACAGCCGTGGTGATCCATTCTCTCGGGTGTATGGAAGCATCCAACCACACGGGTGAATTACTAGCGTCACTGTTTGAAATCTTTAACATCTAAAAGACCACGACTAATAGAGAATCAAGAAACGTGATAGACTATTATTTAAATATTATATGAAAACATTGAAGTGTACGCTCTATGCACAATTGTTTATTGCCACCATGCTACATTATGCGTAGCGGGAACATATATATTTTAAGTGGCAGCGTAAGTATATCCATTACCCCCATACCAGGTCATGGGTGTCGTAAGAGTCAACAGGAAACTGAAACAGGATATGGGCAGCAGCATCTTCCTGATAACTACTGAAAATAATGAATGATCTGCAGTTCCTCCTGCCAAGCGTGGCAAAGTAGGACAAAATTCAACCTAAGGAGGCAATTTATGGGAGATACCATTTATGTTCAACAGTGGTCTTTGATTAAGTATGAATTATTAAAATTTTTGTTTTGCTGATTTTTTTAAATTATATATTATAGCACATGATGACCTCAAAATATTTTTTATTTAACCAGAGTAGTGGAATGTTTACATAGCCGCATTTTGTAATTGTGTCAGCTTTTATTTATTTACATAAAACATTATTAGGGAATGTGTACCCAACTACTGATTTTGTTGTATATATATCGAATATTGTAGAATATATATACAGAGTGGTTTTATTATCGTCTAGAAAAAAATAGGGTGTAACAGGTGAACAGAATGTTTTTATTTTTATTTTACATTAACATATTATGAAATTGATCTATCAACAAATACTTCTAAATTAAAATGAACTTTCGGTACTAAAAAAAAAGCAACAAAAATATTGAACTAAATAAATAAATCAATTAAACTTATGGAAATTAAAATAGTACGTACCCAATTACTCGCATTTACTTGTAGATCAATTTCATAATATGTTAATGTAAAATAAAAATAAAAAATGTAAAATATCTGTGCCATAGGCCTCTATTCCGTTTACCTGCTACACCCTCTTTTTTCAAAACGATTAAAAAATCACCCAGTATAGATGTTATGGAATACCAGCATGATATTAACGGAAGAAATGCACACCTGCATAAAGCTGCTTTGTTTAGTATTTGTGAACAGGAGCTCGTTTTGGAAAGTGGCTGATATCGAGTAATTCCATCTTGGTCTTCTCTACTAGATGTATGTTATGATTTTTAAACGAAAATAAAAGTATATGAGCCATAGTATTCACTAACCATCAAGTGAACTTTCTAAATTCGGTACGCTCGTTTGTTTTTTGTGTATAAAAATACTAAGATATGTAAGTCAGTAAGATGGAACAATTCTTTTAATTTTTACGTGTAGTGTTATTAGTTTTAGCTATGTTTAAGCACTTTGGATACTGAGTGGCGTGCTCCAGTTGAGATGCGTGCACGATCATTTTTTATTATTCACTTTTTGTGTATTTATATTTGTCTACTCCTAATTTGTAAACAAAGTCTCTTCAAATCACACTGCTTGACATAGGGCTTTAAACTTAGAGTTATCTATACTTACCTACATGAGATTGACATTTGGTAAAGAAGTAGGTACGCATATTCGAACTTACATCCAAAAATACATAATTTCGAACAGGAGAACAAAAGAGTCTTACATTTTGACCGTGAAATAAAAATATAAGTATTTGCAACGTAATCATTTTCTTTTTAGAATTGATTAGTTATAACATTTCTCATGAAGGTCAATTAGCTTCTCAGTAGGAAGTTATTGTTATGGATCAGGTTTCTTATAGATTGAATTCTCATTTATTGACATTTCTCAACGTTTTAGGGGTCTGAGTCCTCTCAAGTTCTAGTTAGTAGTAAAAGGTATTGTTTATATGTATCATGTGATTGTATACATACATACATACATAAACACTCACGCCTGTCACCCAGAGGGGTAGGCAGAGACTACAGACTTCCATTTGTGATTGTATGTTAATACATATCATATATTATAATATAATTTTTCATACCTTAATGCTTCTACCCTCTACTGACTTGCCGATGACTGAAACTGTACAAATAGCGGGGAAATCCCTTTCCAATTCATCCAAAAAGTCATAAATTATATTGAGCTTGTGATATTTTTTCCAATCCATGAATCTAACTAAAACATACCTTAAGAAATAAATAAAAAAAAGTTTTACGTATCGTCACTTTTAAAATGTTGGTTTATTACCTTTCCTTCGTTTTGGTTTCTGATTAGGAATAATTTCTTTCATAATTTGGCATAGGGGAGTCACACTACTGTATTTACCTAACGATACATTAAACTGTAAAATAATAAATACCTAATTAGATATATATATATATATATGTTATAAACCCATCATAAATAACAGTTATTTATCGCATATGTAAAAAATAAGTTACCTTTCCTCGTACTCAGTTTTGTTTGTGTGCCGATTTCGTTTTTTTGCACTTTTTTATCCTCATTTCCTTCAATGTCATTACAATCATTTTTATATATAGCAATGGCAGCCATCCGCGAAAAATTTTCTTCCATTATTAAGTCGATACTAAACCAGCGTTAAAAGTTATTTCGCTAACAAAATATCAAAGTTAGAGACTGTTGTTATTAATTATTGTCTTTTGATACGCAGAGTCACGTTCCGTTAATGGCTTAATTAAATGGTGATTAGGTTTAGACAGTCAATTTCAGACAGTTCAGTTTCAGACAGTTCAGACAATTTCCATCGAGAAGTTTCTCAATGAAAAACTTTATATTTAATTCATAATAATTTTAAACGTGGCAGAGCCAAGTTGCAGTTATATTATGATTGTATCACAAATGGGTCAATTCGACCGGGGACACCGCTTTCACAGAATACCAGCGCAAAATGCTGGGTTTCGTACGTTGAGTGTAGAGAACAGGATACCCTACTAGAAATTAGTTATTTCATCTCAGTCCTCGGAGATGGCAACGCATTTGTATTTTGATTCTTAATTGAGGATAAATGAAGATCTCTGGGGGCCACAGTATCCACGCATCATCAGGTGGACTGTATGCTCGATTGTCAACCTTATTCTATAAAAAAAATTGTTATCGAATAATGTAGATTCAGTATCACAATTGTGAACTGCTTATATGAACGTGTAATAATATTTGTTACAAGATTTCCTTATATGAACATCTTTAATAAGCTCTATAAGTCTGAAACTGTAAAAAACAATAACAAAGTATCTGCAGGGAAGACCAATAATTAAAATAATAATATAATATAGTAACAATAGTTTATAATAATTTATTATTGGCTTTGAGCACAATAGAAAGGCGTGTAGGCTTATTGATAATACAATTTTGTTAAAGTCAATCTGACTAGCGTTGAACACAGGCGCTAAGTAGCCAGTGTTTTGTTGTTCTTCAGGATACGTTTTGGAGAGTGAGCGCAGGAATTGCATAACTTACATAACTCCTACCACTTCCTACCATCATTGAAAACCAAATGCTTGTCTAGGCTCCACCTCTTTGTTGTCTACTTACTACGTAATCGAACTAAACGGATGGCTTCGTCGTATTGGAATTGTTTACTAGTATCTAGCATACGATCCGATAACAATGTAGGTAATTTCAAGGCAAGAGACACTTGTTAACTTGAGTCAGTGCGCTGTACCATCTTCGGTTGCCTCACCAGTTATCATTATGTGTGGTAGTAGTCAAGTACTATCTTAGAGTATGTACTTCGTAGAGCCACGCTGCAGCTATATTATGGTTATAGCACGAACGGGTCACTAACCATCAGATTTGTCAGTTATATGTAGTAAAATTAATCAAATACTAAAATCCTATGACGATTATTTTGTTAGCTTCTGAGTAATGAGAGATAGAGAGAGAAAGAGAGAGTTTACAGTACTTACAAATAATAGTACTAAGTTTTTTTTTATAAGAACTAACTGTTTAAAGAAGTTGATATGATCAGATTAATTTACTTGATACTAAAATTTTGAAAAAACTGAAATGTTTTTTATGCATTTTCCAAATGTTTTTATGACATATTGTCACTGACATTCAAAATTAACCAAAACAAGTAGGCAAGTAGTCAGTGTTACCAACTCTAAATATATTTACCCCTAAAAGTTAAGTCAAAAACCCGTAAAATTACATTATTTTTTTGGAAATCCCTTAAAAATAAGTAGAATATTTTGCAATGTTTTTATATATAAATTATTTAAAATTTCCAATATTATTTCGTTTTATATTATACTAAAAGAAATTATCAAAAATTATAGAACTATTTCAAAGCCTTATTTATTTGCAAAAGTCTTGGAGAAGATTGTATATAAACAATTAGGTATACGCCTCATTATTTTCTTCCTTCATTATTTTTAAAGGGGCGCTCCACCACATCGAATCTTATTGTCTATAGTGATTATCTATCGGATTTTATGTCGAAACGTTAGCAAGTTGATGTCGTATACACAGATTAAAACAAAGCGTTTGATAGAAGAGATCATGTTATTTTGCCGCGCACTTACTCATGACTGCAGAAATATGAGGTAATCTTTACAGGTGGTTTCCTTCTTACGTTGAAAGCAGGTGCTAAACTGTTGTTTCTGAATGGCTATTCCTTTAAAGCTATGCTTATACGTTACTCGACCAGTTGCTTTTTTAAATTTTTATAAACGATGGTTCCAATTGTTTTCACGACTACATAATACTTATGTATGCAGATGACCATTGACCATCATGATCATTGTAGATTTCAAAATATTCAACAAGAACATGATCAATTTCAAGCTTACTGTGCTTAATAAAAATTAGATCTCAATGATACGAAGTGTTTTGTTTCTTACAAGCTTTTAAATATGCCAATAACTCGTTTCAGCAATATTAAGGATCTAGGTCTAGGGATTAAGTTCGACTCATAATTACTCTTTGATATTCATATCTCTAAAATGATTAATAAAGCATCTCGTGCACTCGTATTTGTTTTGAGAATATCAACAGGATTCAAGAGCATACAAACGTAAAAAAAAGTCTATTGTACATTTGTCCGAAGTCATCTAAAGTACGCCTCGCAACTTTGGCATCCTAACTATAACACTTACTTTAACAGAATCAAAATTGTACAAAAAAGATCCAAAGATCCATTTGCTGAATTTCCGCATGCATTGGATGCATTTCCGTTCTAACACTACGGTACCCGATTACTATACGCGCTGTAAGAAATTTCATATACTTCCTCTATACGAACGAAGAAAAATGGCTGATTTGTGCTGTTTTAAATATTTTTAGCGACACGGTTGACTACCCAGAGTTGCTTTATAAAATAGGGATACGCACGCCATCGGCGCCACTAAGAAAACATAACAAGTTAATTACTATGGCACATCAATCAGATTTATTTAACACTTATAATTTCTTTAACTAGATTCGTATAATGTGCGTATGCTTATTATTATTATTTTTTACCTCAAATTATATATGTTTACTGTTTTAATTAAATTTGTAATAACTTTTGATTTGCCTCCTACCTCAATTTTTTATATATTACTTAATGGTTTTTAGCTGTAAATTTTCCAATATGATAAAATAAAATAAAAATTAATAAACATACATTTTAGTTAGTGGATTAAATGTTTTAAATTATGCGCTATTTCATTGAAATGTGAATCAGATTATCATCCCACTTGGTAGCATTTCAATAGATAACAACAAATTTCAACCTTGATTATTAATACAAAACATACAAACCGAATTTCAGACATTTTCAAAAGGTTTACAGTCAGCTGCGCCGCAATAATCGTAAACTTCTAAACGAAAATCAGCTGAAGTCAAAAAATTATGAAAGTTCCTAAAAATATAATGTCCCTAAAATAATCCCATCCCATTTGTTTACCCTCAACATTTAGGGCGAAAACCCCTAAGTCGGGAACACTTCAAAGAGTATATAGTCACTATGTTTTGCAAGTAGGTGCGTACTCGTACCATAGATTATTATACATATATAGAATACATATGTATATTTGAGAGTATGTACATTAATCACTTTGTTTGAAAGTAAGAGTTATAAAATATTATAACCTAGTGGTTATATATTATACTCTTAGCTTAGAGGTTGCCTTTGTATAATAAATAAATATAATAAATAAATAGTATAATAAATAAATGTTTACATGTCAAAACAAATATAAAACACACACACAAACATACGCGTCATCCAAGAAAAGTCTTTGTGGTTTTTCTTGCAGGAGAGATGATCTTGAGCTATCTATCCGTCCTATTCATCGAATTTTTACATCTCTTACCAGGTCGTCACTCCATCTAGTGAACATTTTATTTGTCGGTACAAGGCTGCTTTTTTACTCGAGAACCTTTCTTCTTTAGCGGTTATCGATTTTTCGAGCTATGTGACGTGGCCTTTGCAAATTCAGCTTACAGACTCCTAAGGTGGAGTCGGTTTATTCTAAAGATATCCTCATTAAAAAAAATTAAATCGCTGTGCAACTTTGAACTTCTTCGTAATGCCAGCAGTGAAGGCCCAGGTTTCAGATTCGTAACAGTGTCATTGATCATATTGCATACAATATTTTTATGCTATGTAAAAAATTAAAACAAAGTAATCAAAACAAGTAAGGTTTCTTATGTCTTTACAGAATTTGCTGCAAAACTACGTATGTTAAAGTATATTTTAAGGCTGGTAAGCATATAAAGTACCAAGGTACTCAAGAAATACCAGCAACTAACTTCAAACAAAGAAATTAAATGCGTCGTCAAAGACAATGTTAGGTCAAAATTGGCCCTCATAAAACACTTTTTGAAAGTTTCTATACTGTAGAAGATGTTATAATAGGAAGTGCTATGAAACTGATAGATTGAATACTTTTTTCCGGATAGGTACAATTTTTCAGTACAACAATAAAAAATCTGTTGCCTAAGGTGAAATACTACAAAGCCTATAATTATATCGACTCATTTACTTTTTGAGAGTAGGTTTCGCAAAACAGAAGGTGCATTACTGTTTGACAGTAAAAAAAGGCAAGATTGTGATACCAACACATGTAGATGCGGTGTAAGAGAATTTACAGCTATTTTAGGAGTTACCATAAAGATATAAAGCAGGAGATAAGCAGTAGCATCTTGTTGATTGGAATTCAAAATAAAAATAAAAACTGTGGTTGTCTATCGTGGTAATGGCAAATGTGACAATGTCCCACACATTGTCATTTGTCATTGTCGTGTCATTTTTTATTTTATTTATTTATTTAATTCCAAAACTCTTGTGGCTTACAGAAAATCCAACGTGCGTGTTGGGTTTAATTTTACATGCAAAAAATATTACAAAAAAATCATCCAATTATAACAAACGAATTAATAGGTATCACTTATGAATTAATAATTGAAAATAATAATCATAAATTAAACAATTATGCAATATTAGTGTTTTAAAATTTCTAAGCCTTTATCAGCGCGTGTTGCGAAATTAAAATATGAAAATAAAATATTAAAATATGAGTATAAGAAGAAAAAGGTCACAATCATACAATGTCAGGCTATGAAATATT